TATTCTAGATCTATCCTGTATTCTAGATCTATCCTGTATTCTAGTTCTATCCTGTATTTTAGATCTATCCTGTATTCTAGATCTATCCTGTATTCTAGTTCTATCCTGTATTCTAGATCTATCCTGTATTCTAGATCTATCCTGTATTCTAGATCTATATTCTAGAGTAAGCTTGAAAGTGAATCGAACTGATCCCAATCTGAATGTCGACACTGAATATAAAGAGGACAGGGGTGAATCCATCCTTTAACAAACTCAAATAAAATCTTTAATATTTGACTAAACCTCGTGTTTTCTATATTCCTAATTATATATTGTTGTATAATATTGTATTGACCTGGTATCCGTGGGTTTGAAGTGTGATAGCTCTGATTTATTCAACTATGTTGGCACGAGGTATCCACCAATCAATCATAATAATTGATATAAGGTTGGAACAGGGACGGAATAAAATCATATCAGTATGCATCACTATTCATCATGACCAACCCAGGGTTCGGTGGCAAAAAGCCCGAAATTCCTGGAGTTATTGGACTCGATTTAGATAAGAGATCTCAACCCAACCCACTCAAGCTTCACTCCAGCTCTATATATATATGGGGGGTACCAGGAGATGATTTATCTACAATTTCAGATCTTTTTATTTTATCTTATGTTAATTTTTAGATTCAGCATCCTACCAACACATTCTAGCCCAGTCAGTAGTTTCAAATTTACATTTCAAACATACTATATCAAAATATACTTTTCATGGTGTAATGTGTATGTATACTTTAAATTTTAATATTAGCCCACAAAGGATGAGACTTTGAAGATGACCCGAAATCTTTCAAAATGTTATTGTAGAGAAGTGTAAAGATTCTGGAAACATGCATGAATATATAAAACTGGGGTTACAGGGGATTTGTGCCTTTTTTGTAACAGTTTTTGCTGTTAACAGTTTTTTCTACGTGAAGCCATAATTTCATCGTACTCTAAGTAATTTTGACCAGTAATTAACCTTCCCTAGGGTGATGTGAGTTTCCACAAAAAATGTGGTTCAATTGTTTTGGTTTTTTGTTAGATATAAACAATCCAAATATATATTTATACATATAAATGGATTACGACTAAATAGGTTCTTTACGGTTATTTCTCACATCTCATCGTATGCTGAGAAACTAGTAAATCAAGTTGTATATTTATTAAATAAATCCAAAATATAAGTTTGTTAAGGTTTTGCTAAACTTGTCAAAACAAATCTTAATTCTCATTCAATCCAAGAATTCGTCTGAGTTGTAGAAGTATCAAACTTCTAGAGTCGAACCCAGAATCCATTTATTCTCTTGACTTTAAAGAGACTGTTAACGTAATTTCAATTGATCATTGTTCATTGTCCAATTATCAACGGTACCCTTTAAACTTTCGTGTGAGCAAGCTGATATGGATAATTTTGTTTTTAAACCTAAACAGTTATAGTTTCTCTTTGTGGTTTCTCTATAAAAGTCACATGCTCAAGAGACAACAAAAAATGTCAAAATTTAAGCTTTTTTATATAATAAAAGGACAATATCGTCCTAATTGTTACATAGATAAGGCCGGTTTAAAGGGTATTCACCTTCTTAAATGGAGCGTCACTTGAAATTACGTCTATAGTTCCTTTAAGGTGTAGTTCGGATACTTTGACAGTTCGGAGAGGGAGAGAGAAGGGGAAACGAAGGGGAAATAAGAGAGTTAGGGAAAATATAAGGAAGAGATAAAGAGAAAAATTGGAAGTAAAAATGGATGTTTAAAAAAATATCCTTGGTATAGCTTCTATTTAGATATCCATGACAATCGTAGATCTAATAATCTTTAAATAGATTATTAGTCTTTCTCAGTCTGTGTCCAGGATAAAATGAACAAAAATAATGATATTTTCAATATCTTGCTAGAAAATACTTTGAGGAATTCTACTGAAAATAATGATTTTTCAGATGGATATATCAGTTTAGTTCTTGAAATTATTCTTGCTGTGCTACAACAAAATAAAAAATAAAATTTTTCTTTTTTAAATGTAAAATTCAAGCTATGCCAAAAGGAAAAATCAATGTTCTCAAATGTCCAAGTCACTTATTTAGCAAAATCACAATTGAAACCAATCAGTTTTTAGATGGAAAAATGAGGAAACCTCCTTTATACTGATCAGACAATAGTTTATAGGGTACTGTTAGTAATCAGACATGCCACTAGATATAAATCCCATCTACAGTCCCTTTAAAGGGATTGTCAACATAGATAAAAATGGCCCTTTGTTAAAAATCAAAGATGTTTTTATTTATGCAAAACAAAAATTGAAATACTGAATTTTGTTAATGTTAATTTGTTTATTTTTCTACCAGCAAATGTATCATCTAATATTAAACTAAAAATGAAGAATAACTCTAAATAAATATGGGTGCCTCTCTTCTTACATTTGTTTCTTCCATCAAACTTTCTCTTTTATATCTTTGTCTGTCTCTAGACTTATCTCTGTGTCTTTGCCTGTCTCTGCTTTTCTCTCTGTGTCTTTCTCTGTCTTTCACTCTCTCCCTGCTTCGTTCTCTTAATCTATCTTTCTCCCGTTCTCGTAGCCTTTCTATTTCTCTTATTCTATCCCGTTCTTTCTCTTTTTCTCGAATCCGTTCCAGTTCCCTTTGTCTTTCCTTTTCCTTTTCTCTTGTTTTCCTTCTCTCTTGTTCTTGTTTCATGATCATATTTTCTTCTTCCCATGAATCCTCAAACACTTCAATGCTATCAGGATCCTAAAATGATATTGAATTACACTTGTTTACAGTACATATATTACTTACTGTCAATATCAATACGGGCATTTAAATTATCTGATCTCCTAGTCTAACCTCAAATAATGTGAGTTTTTCCTCTAATAATGGTGTTTTAGCAAACACGATAAGTCAGAAAGAATAAAAACAATGAGAAAAAAAGGCTCTGTAATTACGTAAGCTTGACAAATTCAACCATTTAATTGGTACCATAACTGGTTAATATGTGCTCTATGAACTGTGTACTCTGAGTGCTCTGTGCAATATTCTCAATGAACTGTGTACTCTGAGTATCTGTGTAATATTTGCTCTATGAACTCATATATACTCTGAGTTTTCTGGAACTGTGTACTCCTGGTACTCTGTGTAATGTACTCTATGAACTGTGTACTCCTAGTACTCTGTGTAATGTACTCTATGAACTGTGTACTCCTAGTATTCTGTGTAATGTGCTCTATGAACTGTGTACTCTGTGTAATGTGCTCTATGAACTACCTGTAGTCCATATTTCTCCCAGCCTACAGGGACTGGTGGAAGACCTCCGTCCTAAATGTCAACCAAAATTTAGAATTGAGAAAATATGAAATAAAAATGCTAAGTAATAAAAGAGTCAAATTTCTACTTTTTATTTTACTGTAAATAGTAAAATAAAATGTAAACTCTCATAATTTTGAATATTCTAATATTTAGGAAACAAATTCGAAGAATTCTTTCTTGCGTTTTTATCACACTTCAGTATTTACAATTTGGACCTTCTTTTCATATTTTTGACCTGATTTGATTTTTTTCGAACTTTTTTCTTACTTTTTCAAAAATTTTATTTTATTATATGGGCATAATCTTTTTTCACGATTGCAGAGAGTATATCTAGGTATAGAGCTAGCGCTAACCTTGGTTGCAGAGAGTATATCTAGGTATAGAGCTAGTGCTAACCTTGGTTGCTGAGAAGAGCTAGTGCTAACCTTGGTTGCAGAGAGTATATCTAGGAATAGAGCTAGTGCTAACCTTGGTTGCAGAGAGTATATCTTGGAATAGAGCTAGTGCTAACCTTGGTTGCAGAGAGTATATCTTGGTATAGAGCTAATGCTAACCTTGGTTGCAGAGAGTATATCTAGGTATGAAGCTGGAACTAATCCAACCTGTCCTAAGGAGTGACCAGTAAACCAGTAGTAATCAAGTCTAAACAATCAAACAAAATTAAAATAAAAATACTGTTTATTTTTACTTCTTGTAAAAATTTATCTTTTATTTAATGCCATTAATTCTATAAATTAACTTTTCTTGTACTTTTTCCTGAATAGAGTTTCATTTTTCCCTTTCATTTTCATCAAACTTTTTTCTGTAATTTATATTTAATCTTTTATGTGTTTTTTTATAGAACCTCATTATTAACAGGACGCTGTCCACTGTCTACATAATTTATATCTAATCTTTTATGTGTTTTTTTATAGAACCTCATTATTAATAGGACGCTGTCCACTGTCCACATAATTTATATTTTTTTATAGAACCTTATTATCTATAGGACGCTGTCCACTGTCCACATAATTTATATTTAATCTTTTATATGTCTTTTATAGAACCTTATTATTTATAGGACGTTGTCACTGTCCCCATAATTTGAAGATGACCTTACATTAAAAAAATGCCATAAATCACAACGGTGTCCTTAAAAACATTTATCTGAGTAAAAATAAGAGAGATATCGTGGTTTTATCTATCTTTCATTTTTCCTCGTTTTCTTGGTATATATCTGAGGCACTAAAAAACTGGACTAATCATTATCATTGCTTCGAGAAAGGTTTAAAGAGTATCGTTGTGAATCAGAATTGGCGCTTTTTAATTAAAAAGTTACTTCAAATTTTGTTGATAGTCCCTTTAAGTATTTTTGTGTCAATTCAACAATGTTTACCTATGAATGATATAGACCAGCTGACCGACCTCCAGCGACAGCTCCCGGTCAGTTCGAGCAGAGTATTTCATCTTTGCCACCGCCCTCACCTAGGAAACAAAAAATAGCCTTAAATTATTTTAAAGTTTTTGTTGTAAAATTGAGGATGATGATTGTAAAATAAATTAAGAACAATACAACAAATTGATGCAAATTGTAAAAAATAAATCATTAAATCAATTAAGTTTTGCAAAAAAAGAAAGGCACAGTTGAGAGAGAAATTTACTTATAAAAAAATGTTATGCAATGAATGATTCACCTTTTCTTCTCCATCATCTCCATATGCTAGAATCTTGATAAAATTTGCTGGAATGAGACCCATCACTCCGTGCCTTTCTCCGTAGTACCACTCAGGGCTATACAGTACAGTACAGTACAGTACATGGCAGTACAGTATAATAAATTACAGTTCAGTACAGCAAAGTTCATGTTTTTTCAGAAAAATTAAGAATTATGAAATTCCGATTAAAAACTGTTTTCCTACCTGAGACGCCTATGAAGGAAGACGATATCTCCAATATTAAGATTCAGTTCTGATTCCTTTTCCGATTTACGCACGTGGGTCACAATGGCAGGACTTTTAGCCTAAGGATGCCAATATTTGTCATATAAAGGCAATTAAATATTTTATGGTGGTTTAAAGAATTCAAATTTAAAACTATTTAAAAAATTTTGAATAAATTAAAGAGCTTTTAAACCAAAATTGCTGTTCTTATCGTGGACAATGACCATCTTTGTAAATATTTTTGCAGTATATTTTGTGTGTTTATAAACTGTTTTAAACAACATAATTAAAATATCATTTATGTTCTTTCAACTGTAAAAATACAAACGAAAATTCTAAATTCTAAAATTTAATTAAAATATTCTACCTTGTCAACATCAGACACATAATTGCTCTGAAAGAAACAATTTGGAAGTTTTTTTTCAGAAAAATTTGTTATTTTTTCTTTTACCTTTTTTCTCTTGTTTTCAACTTTATTTTCATTTTCTTCGTCTTTTTTCATTTTTGGTTCTTCTGTGTCCATCGTCTGAGAAATAGGTTCTTCAGATGTTGTTGTTTTAGTAGTACACAGTACATCACTGATCTCAACCTTATTTTTGGATTAAATTAGAGCTAGTATTGTTAATCGTTTAGTTCGTTTTTTTACTTTTAATAAATTTCCCAGAATTTAAAACTGTATTGAGTTAAAGTTTGCTTTTATTAAACTTTACAATAATTTTATTCCAAAAAAAGGAATAATGATTCATAAAGGATCATTTTTACTATTTACAGAAATCCTATCAAATTCGAACTGAGCAGCACTAAGCCCGAAACTGAAGACATGGTATGATCATTAAACCCAGTTTAGGAAACAGAGTTTCATGATCAGGGCAAGGTAGTAGATTATATTATTTCGTATGTTAGGTTCTTTTTTTTCCAATTTCAAAAAGAAAATTCGAAGTTTGGTTTTCGAAAATCTCTTAACCCGTCTCAAGAAGACTGAACCAACAGTTTTAGTGCAACTAAATCTACTAACTTGATTATCATATTCAATCTCGGAGTGAATGATCATCCTTGAACTACAGATGCTGTTGATATTGTTGATACTATCAAAGTTGTTGTTGTTGTTGATATTGTTGATATTCTCAGAGTTGTTGTTGTTGTTGTTGCTGTTGATACTAGTTCTATTGCTCCTTTGCTCCTGGTTCAAGTTCAAATGCTCCCTGTACAGTTGATATTAAGCCTGGAGTATATATGTAATACATACTTAACTAGCGTGGAAACTCGGCTTTGCCTGGAAACTAAACGCTATTAAAGTCAACCCGCTCAATTTATAACTTTTAAACCAAGCAGGAAAATTTCCGTGGTTCTTCCGAATTCCCCAATCAAAATTTGAGGCAAATTGGTCAAGGGGTTCATGAGTTATGATCGCACAGACAAAGAAACTCATACTAATTGGTTATTTACCTGTACAATTCTGCCAAGGGTCCGCGTGGTTCTTTCTAGAAAATGAAAATTTACAGCTTTTTAAAGTGAAATTAAAAAGAATCTGGAAAATAATTCTGAAGTTTAACTTGCAACTTCAAGATAAACTTAAAAGAAAACCCTGGAAGTTAAATATTATTATTTTTTAAAAGAAATTTGTTCATAGAAAAGATAAATGGAAAATTATTCTTAAGACAATCTTCAGAATGATTTTTCCAGAGGTCAATACTTTTAATTAAACCTGTTCATAACTCGCTTATGTTGGTTCCCCCAACGGTTTAATAGAAGCAATTCTTTTCTTTTTATTCATTTCTTAATTATTCCTTAGTGGAATTCCTGTATATCTCCGGCATTAAACTTCAATCCTTAATTATTCCTTAGTGGAATCCCTGTATATCTCCGGAATTAAACTTCAATCCTTCAATCAAAAACCGTACGCTGTGGATACCGAGTTTAGTCTCTGGTTTTTCACACTTCTGCAGAATATTATTTTTTTAAATTAAAAAGATTTACCTTAACTCTGAGTTCTCCAACGTCAGCTGAAATATCCGAATTAAGATATATATATTCTTAACAAAAGTGAAAAATATAAAAATTGAAAAAATATATATATTTAAGTAAAGAAACGGATTTGACACAAACCTGAAAGAATTGATCTTCTGCTAGAACTATTTCTATCCAGGATACTTGTCTTAGTACTCCGCAAACTAAATTCTAATAAGAAAACGTTCTTTTATCTTCCCTCTAGAGATATATTATATACCATTTCTATGCAGAGTAAATATATTTTTCTTCAGAAAACGACATAATAATTATGAGAAAGTGAGACAAAGTTAAAAGTTATAAGAAATAGGTTTTTTCAAAAATAAAAATTTCAGATCTTTCTGAGTAAATAACTTACAGATATCCTTGCTTTTTTAACTGAAAATTAGATAAACGAGTCTATTAAAAGTTGACAAGGTCCCTTTGTGAATCTGGCATGTAACTCTTTGAATGAAGGTCATTTGAAATTACGTCGACACTCCCTTTAATTAATTACCTTTCTCACTATTCTCAAGACTTTCTTCATCTTCTTCTTTCTTCTTCATCTTTATTACAGGTTCGATATATTCATCATGATTATCTTCATCCTCTTCATCCTCTTCGTCCTCTTCATACTCTTCATGACAAAGTTCAGTCTCGTTCTTTTCGTTCTTGTCATCTTCATTCTCTTTTTCGTCTTCTTCTTCTTTGATCTCCTTATATAAAATTTTTTTAAAAAATATACTTGAAGGGACCGTTCACATATTTGGGTAATTTCGGAGTAAACTAAATAGCTTATGAGCTATTATTTAGTATTGGTCTCAATTTTCAAAGACAACTGTGGCCGGAGAAAAAGACGATTTTTTGTTCAGAATTCGAGACCAAATGGAAGCTGTCCCCTTTGTCTATTCACTATTTGACGTTTTTGTCGATGTCATGATTAAAACAAAAATTCGAAAATAAAACTGCAGTATCTGATAGTAAATCGTAAATGTAATAATTTTGAAAAAAAAAATTTAAATTTCTATTTTTGTCATAACATTGAACATTTTGTATTGCTTCTCTGTAAAATCGGCTTTTTCTCCGGCCACAGTTGTCTTTGAAAAGTAAGAACAATACCAATTAACAGCTGTTTAGTTTACTATGAAATTACCCAAATAAGTAAACGGTCCCTTTTAACCAGGTTGTCTCATGCTCATATTTTGAAGATGATCAAATCTAAAACTTTTGAGAGATTCGTATTTTTCTTTTGTCCCGTAAATGATTCTCAATCATAATAACTTTTAATTTTCAGCCATTGAAATTTTTGAAAATGTTTCAAAAATGTTGACAACAAAATTCACAAGAACCTTGTTTTCTTCATCGAGTTGCTCAATTTCCTCATTTAGAATCTCAGGATCTTCGAGATCATCAACCTTCGCATCATCATCAACATCATCCTCTTTAGTTGAATCCACAACCTGGTTCATATCGGTATCATCATTATTAGAATTATTGAAATCATCAATGTCTTCATTAATATTACTAAAGTTATGATCACAATCAAGAATTTGAATTAATAAAAAGTATTTAAAAATATATAAATATAAACCAGCCCCCCCCCCCCTGGAACCTATGACTATGAACCTGATTAAGCCCGAGCTGTGAATGGTAAGGTCTAGGTTTAGGTTTCGTAAATCCTCCTTTACTCCTCTCCATAGCAGAGGCAGGTCTAAAAATGATAAAAATTCTTCAAATACAGCATGTTCTCTAAAATATGACTCAAAGATCGTCTTTGATAGCTATCTGGGGACAAAGTGTGCAGAGTCAACAAATATATGCGATGTATGTATGTATTTATGTATGCATGTATGTATGTATGCATGTATGTAAGGGTGTATGTATGTATGTATGTTTGTATGTATGTATGCATGTATGTATGGGTGTATGTATGTATGTATGTATGTCACACTTTTTGCATCCTCAATATTGTCTCATTAATAAAATCCAAATGTAAGTCTTCAATGTGCGTCCTTATTGTACATTCTCAATTTGTATCCGCGTCCTGTATTGCAACAAAGAATGTTAACAAAAGTTTTGAAACTATGAAGCCAACCTAAACTGGAAAATAAGTACGACATGCTTCAAGACGAAAATAAATGATTAATTCTTAAACTTTCAGTTCTTGAAATATTTGTCTAAAAGTTGAAATTTCTTTGAAATAAATTTCGAAGATGTCCGGGAAGTAGAAACATATTAGTGGACAAACTGATACCTTAATTAGCTTAGACCTCCACAACTTAAATATTTGAAATTCCCAATCCGATGTGAAGGGAAAAAGGAGGGGAGGGGAAAAAGAAGGGGAGGGGGAAAAGAAGGAAAGGGGAGGGGAAAAAGAAAGGGGGGGGGGTATTTTTGGAGTAGATAGATGGAAAGTTCTAAATCAATTACATTGACAGGACAGCTATTTGAAGAATTTAAAATATTTTCCTAAAATATTTACAGAAAGTCAGTTTAACTTAACTACGGATTAATTTCAGTCAAAAACTAAATCTGGGTTTTAAGATTAGTATAGAGCGTCCAGTGCAGTGTAGGGGGGGTGATAGAAGTAGGAGGAGTTGATAGAAGTGGGAGATCTATCACATTGTCAAATAATGAATGTAACTTTAGACCAGGATGATGCATAAACTTTTTTGAATTCATTTTACTCATAATTTATTTACGATGGAACACTATAGTTTACATTTCAATAGAGGTTTCAGCCAATAAATCAGTCAGTTTTTTACAGGTTTAGGATTACTTCATCCTCAGTTGTTCTATCCGGGGAGCCAACCAAATATTATAATTTTATTCTTGAAATTCTTTATGGGACTGTTTACAATTTAAAGTAGCATTCCTTCTAAAAATGGTGTAAATTTTTTTTTTTTATTTCTGAGATCGGGAATCTTCCAATCTAGGTTTTTTTGATCGACCAGTGGATACTTACAGCAGAGGAAAGCAAGAAACAGGTCATGATAGAATAAGGGTCAAATTGAGCTAAATGTCACGTTAAAGGTCTTGTAAGAATAAGGTCAAGTCAGGTAAAAAGGTCATGTATTGCTGGAGGTGAAGTTAGGTAAAGGTCAACTCTTTATAAATATCATGGATAAAGGTAAATGGTAAAGGTCCATAAATGGTAAAGGTCAAGTTATGGTAACAGTCAAGTTATGGTAAAGGTCCATAAATGGTAAAGGTCAATTAATGGTAAAGGTCAATAAATAGTAAAGGTCAAGTTATGGTAACGATTAAGTTATGGTAAAGGGTCATAAATGGTAAAGGTCAATAAATGGTAACGGTCAATAAATGGTAAAGGTCAATTAGTGGTAAAGGTCAATAAATGGTAAAGGTCCTGTAAGGATAAAGGTCTAAAAATGGTAAAGGTCAATAAATGGTAAAGGTCAATAAATGGTGAAGGTAAATAAATGGTAAAGGTCAATAAATGGTAAAGGTCAAGTTATGGTAAAAGTCAAGTTATGGTAAAGGTCAAGTTATGGTAAAGGTCAAGTTATGGTAAAGGTCAATAAATGGCAAAGGTCAATAAATGGTAAAGGTCAATAAATGGTAAAGGTCAATAAATGGTAAAGGTCAATAAATGGTAAAGGTCAAGTTATGGTGAAGGTCCATAAATGGTAAAGGTCAATACATTGTAAAGGTCAAGTTATGGTAAAGGTCAAGTTATGGTAAAGGTCAAGTTATGGTAAAGATCAAGTTATGGTAAAGGTCAATAAATGTTAAAGGTCAATAAATGGTGAAGATCAATAAATGGTAAAGGTCAATAAATGGTAAAGGACAATAAATGGTAAAGGTCAATAAATGGTAAAGGTCAAGTTATGGTAAAGGACAAAAATAGGTAAAGGACAGTAAATGGTAAAGGACAGTAAATGGTAAAGGATAATTAATGGTAAAGGTCAATAAATGGGAAAGGACAATAAATGGTAAAGGACAATTAAGGTAATGGTCAATAAATGGTAAAGGACTATAAATGGTAAAGGCAATTAATGGAAAAAGTCAATAGATGGTAAAGATCAATAATGATAAAGATCAATAAATGGTAAAGATCAAGATATGGTAAAGGTCAATTTGTGGTAAAGGTCATTAAATTGTAAGGGTCAAGTTATGGTAAATTTTTTCAAGTTATGGTGAAGATCAATTTATGGTAAAGGTCAATAAATGGTGAAAGTCAAGTTACCTCTTGTAAGGACAGTTTGGTTCATGAATAATCTCGACCTCTGAGGTCAAATCCTCTTTGCTGTAGCTAATGGTCAGCTCGTACTTATTCTCCTCCTTGCCTTCTTTACCCTTTCTTCCCCATTTCCTTTCCTTCCCATCCTTCTCATCCTTCTCATCTTTTCTCTCCTTAGACTTGTCTTGTTTATTTCTCAACTTTCTCAGGGATCTTCGGATACTTGCCCTTTAACAAGAGATTTATTAACAATTGGATAGAGTTTTTAGAGGAAAGGGAAGAAAGAGGGTTAAGAGGATAGAAGGAAGGATAAGAGAGGATAAAAGGAAGGGTAGAGAGGAAAGGGAAGAAAGGGTAGAGATAAAAGGGAAGGAAGGGTAGAGTGGACAGAGAAGAAAGGGTAGAGCGGATAGGGAAGGAAGGGTAGAAAAGAAAGAGAAGGAAAGGTAGAGAGAAACGGGAAGGAGTAGCAAAGGAAAGGAAAGGAAAGGTAAGGCAATGGGTAAAAGGAATGATTGGTAAAGATGAAAGGGAAGGTTGGGTAGAGAAGAAAGGTAAGGATGGGTAGAGGGGAAAAGTAAAAAAGGGTGGGTAGAGTGGATAAAGAAGGAAGGGTAGAGTGGATAAAGAAGGAAGGGTAGAGTGGATAAAGAAGGAAGGGTAGAGTGGATAGAGAAGGATGGGTAAAGCGGATAGAGAAGGATGAGTAGAGTGGATAGAGAAGGATGGGTAGAGTGGATAGAGAAGGATGGGTAGAGTGGATAGAGAAGGATGGGTAAAGCGGATAGAGAAAGATGAGTAGAGTGGATAGAAAAGGATGGGTAGAGCGGATAGAGAAGGATGGGTAGAGCGGATAGAGAAGGATGGGTAGAGTGTATAGAGAAGAAAGGGTAGAGTGGATAGAGAAGGATGGGTAGAGCGGATAGAGAAGGATGGGTAGAGCGGATAGAGAAGGATGGGTAGAGCGGATGGAGAAGCATGGATAAAGAATAAACTGAACCTGAAAGTATTTATTGGTGAATAGTTAATGTTCTCCTTATTTGTGAGAGTATATCGTCCCTTCTGATCCTAAATCAAATTTATTTACTTATTTATTATCAGTTTATCAAAAATTCAATAAATAACAATAAATCCTGGTTAAAGAGGCATGTCCGATTCACAATGGTACCCTTAAAACCTTGGCCTGATCAAGAAAAAATGAGCTATTTTCTTTTTGAAAATGTGTTACTTTTGGATTGTAGTTTCTTTCCAGATTATTAATGAGATGAAGGTGTAAAGGGTATTGTTGTGAATCGTAAACACAAAGTTTAATAAAGGAGTTAAGAAGCATGAATATGGATACTTGAAGTAGGTCAGGGGAAACACAAAGCTTAATAAAGGTCGATANAATAAAGGAGTTAAGAAACATGAATATGGATACTTGAAGTAGGTCAGGGGAAACACAAAGCTTAATAAAGGAGTTAAGAAACATGAATATGGATACTTGAAGTAGGTCAGGGGAAACACAAAGCTTAATAAAGGAGTTCAGAAACATGAATATGGAGATGGTTAAAGAAAGGTATATATCCTTGAACCTGAAAAGGAGCAGCAACCTCTCCAGTGTCCTCTAAAGAAGGAGGATTGACAGAATAACTCCCACTTCGAACCGTCCGTCGAAACTTCATCATACCAGGAAACAAACCTAGATAAGAACCCTGAGTAAATCCATCCTAAACCAATAGTATCCTTTGTATTGGATTATATCCCACCTTTGTTCCTTGACTGCCTAAGTACTGTTTTATGTTGATCCTATGACCTGGAGAATACTTGAATATAACTGAATAAAACCTTATCAAACCTGGCAACTCCCATGAAATCAAACACCAACCCAGTACCTATACTCATTCCTTCTAATCTACCCATACCTACCTATACTTATTCCTGGTATTCATTCCTCCCACCTACCTAAACCTACCCATACCTACCTATGCATGTACCTACTCAGACCTACCCAAAACCATATATACCTTCCCAAAACTACCCATAACTTTCCAAAATACTTATACCTACCCAAAACTACACACATCTACCTAAAACTACCCGTACCTACCCAAAACTACCCAACCTACCCATACCTACCCATCCATATACTCATACCTAGTTAGTATAATGTGGTTAAGTTTTTGTGTTCATCAGTGTGGTCTAGTTTATTGTTCACTTTGTGTGGTTGATTTTGAAAGAATCCCGGATGGTTTGAAGGGGGGGGGGGG